TTAGTCTCACCGAATGTGTTCGACAAGTGAGATAGGATGCGAACTAAGAATGCAGGTAGTCTGGTATGTCGTAAGAAGCCAGTTTACTTAGTCCATTATGAGGGACTCTGTCGATTGCTTTCCCATATCTAAGAAGAGTATGAACAGAGCTTTCCTGAAAGCAACCATGGACGTTATATTGTTCAGGAATTCCAACTAGCAAGTTTGACAGCATTTAGACGGTAAGAATTCATCCCGAGATTTGTTGATGAGCTGACGATGGTCAAGAAACGTAGAGCGCTTCTTTGACGATCCTCTACATCACACTTAAAGCAAAAGCTCTGACTGGGATATCGGTAGCTTTTAATGGGTTTTGACGGCTTCCCTTTTGTGTATTGGGATGGTTACTGCAGGGTTCCAAGCAGCGAAGAAGGCTCCGTGTTTCAATGCTAAAAAGTGAAGATGTTACCAAAGGGGACGGCGATATTCAGGCCACCTAATATTAGCAGGGCCGAGATGAGACCATCCGGTCCGGCATGGAAAGCTAGTTTGAAACCCAGCATTTCCAGAGTAATGGTACGCAGGTCAAATTGTACTGTGCGTAAAGTAGCATTAGCGCAACTTGGAATATTAAGTGTCAGGGTCAGGTTAGCAGACGTGAAAAAGACACAGAAGTAGAGATTCATGACCTCACATACTACAGCTAGGTTAGTGGCACCTGAATTGTCTGGAGGAATAACCGATTTACTGGAATTCGGGCAGGGTGTCTTGCACCTTAGCAGAAGAACCAGGGCTTTCACATGGTTAATAGTGTTAATTGGCAGTAGGTTCTTTAGGCCGATAGGCGGTAGCTGGTGAACATTTCTACTCCAACAACATTACGATAATGCAAATAAGGAGGAAAAATTCTTGGGCCTTGTTATATCTTGAGCGTAGCACTTTGCGTTTGCCGTGTAGTTTGCGATGGGAGCTGCATACTGCGGTAGCTGCATTGTCATTGGCTTCGTTATATGTGCGTCTATCTGGGCAGGGTGCTCGGTTTCTATATAGTACCAAAGAGGCAGTATCCGTAGCTGTAGCCTGAAAGAAGAGATCGCAGCTGCTGGATCACCGAAGTAGAGCAAATGTTATCCAGTTGATGCGTTTGAACAGCCAAACAAAACAAGACGTTCTAACCACTGGGAGACGAGTAGTGAGTAGTTGGGAAGGAAACTTTACTATTGTATGATCGCAGCCTGGGCGGTTGTCAAGCATGCTGGCAGTACACGCGCCACTCTGCTTGTAAAAGTAGACCTATGTTCTTGATTAAAGGAGACACACCAGTACAGGCACGATCTGGTGATGGTCAGAGCTACAAAAACACGATGAACGCATGTATACTAATAGACAGCGGAAATTGTTGGAAAACTACATAGCTCAAAAAGTTACATAGTTGTTGCCTAGGAATATTGCAGTGAGAAGGACTGTTGCATTTGAGTCAGGTAGCCATGTGACGCAGAAGTGCGGTGAACTATATAAGTGTTTCCGTCACGAATACTAGGTAATGGTTTGAATAGTTTCGGAGGTTGCGCATTATTTTACTTGGGCGTAGGAAGGCGATATAAGGTTTTATGAACACCGTCGGACGAAGGGTTAAAGTTTCGTTATTATGCCATAAGGCTCAAGATTTTGACTTTTGGAATCAATGTCTGGGCTTTGCCATGGGAAGGGACGTTATTAAGTGGCGAGTCACATCTGATACGCAGCTGTGTTAGTAAAAGCAAGTTTGTGACTTTTATAGGGAGAACGCTTGCCAAACAAAAACCCATCACGTCCTGAAACGCTGCCACTAAACACAAGTTGAATAGCAAGGAGCGACTAGCAACGGTACTTTACTACGGAGTTTCCGCACGGCTAATCACAGTCATGGTGCATTCAGTTTTCCGTGCGCTGAACACGATGCTTAGCCTTGCTTTACCAGTATCGGCTAAGCCGGTGGTACTGGCCGGAGCAATGACTATGAATGGAGGGATTCAGAGTTGCGCAAGTGAGCAAGTCTTAAAATAATAAAGGTAGGGTATTTCGTAGGCGGTAACCTTAGCACAGCAGCTAAGGTACGGGCCAGATGGGTGTTTCAGGCATGCCCCTACCAAGTAAGTAAGGCACATGAAGTGAGCTAAAGCTTTTTCTGAGATAGTTTAAAGACAAAAAGGAGGTAACTACAATCGTGCATGTCCATAGAAACGACCAACCAATGTGTTAGATGTGGTCACGGGAATAAAGGCATGGCCGAAAGCCGCAGCATAGACAACCTTCGACAGCCAGCTGACATGCAGAAGATCTTCGGCAGACCACAACGACGAGGTGAGTCAAGTATCCATGGTTTAATGACGCCAAATAGCTGAAGTAATCCACTTGAAAGGAAAACGAGACTTACCGCCAGGTTAACGCAACAAAGAAGTAACAGGGCAGATTGATAAAACGCGCGTTTGAGGTGATAAACCGGAAGTGATAAAGCGCTGTACCCAATTTTTCAAACCAGTAGGGTAAATAAATAAATAATTTATTCTCAAATTTATAGAGACACACCAAATCGGGCATGATCAAGATTTACAGGCCGCTGTGTATTACAACGATACTTCTGGTTTATTCATGCGTAGTGTAAGCGGTCAATACACTATAAGTGCAGTGAAACGGTACACGTGGTCGGTGAGTATAATATTTTGGCACGGGTAGGGAAAAATTGAAATATGAGTCTAGTCCACTTGCGAGTGTGTAGTTGTGGGCAGTGACTTTATTCAGTGGCGAGTCACATCCGCTAAGTCGCAGTGTTGTTAAACAAACATTTGTGGCTTTTTATACGGAGAAAGCTTGTTAGGCGAAAACCTACCACGTCCTGCAAAACTGACATAAAGTATTTTGAACACTGATGTATAACTGGCAAAGCTGCTTGAAGACTGAGTTCATATTCGATTATTCGCAGTCAACTGGCTTCCAAATTCCTCGGTTGGCCGGAGATATAGTTTTTCAGGGCCACCATAATTGTTGCAGCCGGTTGATGATGGGAACATCAAGAATAGTTGTCTTTTTGTGTGTCCAGGTGAGCAAAGTTTCAAACTTTCTGCTGTCTGACTTTACAGATGTATAATTTGCGGGAATTTGATGACTTGTCTAGCTCTTCATACTGGACAACTGTTATGGTGGTGATTGCAGAAGAGTCCCTTTTGTATACAGCCATGCTTCACGTAGGTCCTTGTCGGTTAGTACCCTCGTCAGGCGAAACCTGTTCTTCAGTCCAATCCCGGATCTCCAAGCATTTCCGGACCACTGAGAAAAGGGAAAGTGAGAGACAACCGAGAGAACACCGCGAGAACAGACGTGGAGTAAAACATAGTTAAACTCTCATGTTACAACTTTTGTATTTGAGGCAAAACTTTTACCCTGTGAAAAATGAATATGCTGCAAATGACTTTTGAACGCCCAACGGAATCAATATCCGTTTGGGTAGATCGCTAATGTCTGCTGGAGAAAAGAATGTTGCACCAGTAAGTAATCCACAAAATATCAATTTGGTATGC